ATAACCTCAATGCCAAAATTTAAATGACATCGAGGTACCACCTACGCCGGTATGAATTTAAAAATCATAAAAGATTTTATGAAGGAGAAAATTTTGAAGTAAAAGTTGCTATCATGACATTTTAGCGCTATCCTGTACTTTCATCACAACCAAGTACTTTACAAGCAACAAGTTACAATTTTAACTAGAACTAATTGAAGTTACACAAGAATTCTCTGAAATATACATATTATATATTATACATTTATCACATGCCTTCTCATGCGATATCAAAACTTTCGCCCACGAGGCTTGCCGAGTTAGCGAAAGTTTCGATATTTCCCGAGGCTTGCCGAGGGTTATATCGACATTTTCAATCACGAGGCTTGCCGAGTTTTGAAAATGTTGATATCGCATGAGAAGGCATGTGATTAATGTTTTATCACACTTTCTTTGGAGCCAAATTTGGCCGGGAAAGCAGAATTTGATCAAACGTTAGTTATAAATCTCACCAAAGCAAAACTAAACATGTCGAACTTATTTATGTTTATAATGTCCAAGCTATATATAGCTCTCGATAAGTTAGTATTTCAGATATTAAAGATACAATACGTCAAAATTAGAACCCGCGTTTCACATTTATGACACAGTGAATGCTGTGTGCCGCGCCCAATTTGCTTTCTATTGGTACGTTGTGCATGCGATATTAATGTGTTTTCCGCCTATGGGTCTTGTACTTATGAGTCTAGAATATTCCGCCGCGAGCGCGTTTGATACGTAATTACATCCTGCAAATCAGTCGATGTGAGGTGATTCTAATACTTTATTTCTATTAGATATTTTTAGAGTCATTAAAACTGTAGATGTATAATGTATAGAACATCCGTTTAAGTGTTGATTATACATCACAGTCCTTATCGTATAATCTGTATCTGCGATAAGGTGAAAGAATTTCCTGGTTGTTAAATTTGAATAAAGCTGTGGCGCCATGATTGTCTATTTATCAGTCCACATTATACACTGCACACCCTAATTTACATCAACAATATTATCGTCCGTCTTGATTCTTGATTGTCTGTTATTTCAGAATGATTTAATCAATGCAACTTGTAATCGTTGACCTAGAATTTTATCAAGTATTCTGCTTAGTTCTTAGTCAGTATACAATATACATCTTTACTTGCCATATTTGCCATTATTTGCCATTATTTGGAGCCATATTTGGCCTGGAAAGCAGAATTTGATCAAACGTTAGTTATAAATCTCACCAAAGCAAAACTAGACATGTCGAACTTATTTATGTTTATAATGTCCAAGCTATATATAGCTCTCGATAAGTTAGTATTTCAGATATTAAAGATACAATATGTGAAATTAGAATCTCGCGTTTCACATTTATGACACAGTGAATGCTGTGTGCCGCGCTGAATTTGCTTTGTACTGCTACCTAGTGCATGCGATATTAATGTGTTTTCCGCCTATGGGTCTTGTACTTATGAGTCTAGAATATTCCGCCGCGAGCGCGTTTGATACGTAATTTAAATTACATCCTGCAAATCAATCGATGTGAGGTGATTCTAATACTTTATTTCTATTAGATATTTTTAGAGTCATTAAAACTGTAGATGTATAATGTATAGAACATCCGTTTAAGTGTTGATTATACATCACAGTCCTTATCGTATAATCTGTATCTGCGATAAGGTGAAAGAATTTCCTGGTTGTTAAATTTGAATAGAGCTGTGGGGTCATAATTAGTGTCTATTTATCAGTCCACATTATACACTACACTCCCTAATTTACATCAACAATATTATCGTCCGTCTTGATTCTTGATTGTCTGTTATTTCAGAATGATTTAATGCAACTTGTAATCGTTGACTTAGAATTTTATCGAGTATTCTGCTTAGTTCTTAGTCAGTATTCATCTTTACTTGCCATTATTTGCCATTATCTGCTTCGAGCTAGAAATTATCTGAACTGGAAATTATCAGAACATTTGTAATATTCAAATGTATCTCTTCAACATTTTAGAACGCAGTACCTACTCCACCAGCCTATAACCACCCTGGTCATGGCCAGGTAGTTCACCCGTACTGTTACCAATATTGAATTGTCTAAAGAATGGCAGCACATTAATCATCGGACCTGTTTGCCCCAGTGCCCAGACTAATTTATAACCAGATTAGCTGATTAAGTTACGTCATTCGTCCCTTGATATATTTATATAGATAATATATTTTATAGGATGTTTTTATTGCACTTATTTGCACTAACTAAAATTCAGTTAAAACTAGTCCTGGGATAGAATTTTCGCTCTTTATTGTACAGAATCTATAAGTCTCTTTATCAGTCTGTTTATAGATCAGCCACGAATTTCGCAAGCTAATCTAGGCGAAACCGGTTTGGAAAATGGAAAAGCCAAGTATAATTTCTGCACAATTTCTATATGGAATATGGCTCAAAGAAGGGATCAGAGGGGGTTAAAATTCAGGTCTGAAATGGCTGAAATCTGGCTTTGTTTTGTGTGTTTTCTTCCTTCGAATAGATCAAATATCGTTTATGTCTTTACTACTTTTTGTGAGGGTGACTGTAGTTTGTTCTGACACTTCCTTTTTAATTTCAAGTAAGCGATTAAGGAAATTAATGAGCCTGATTGATTGTATCGCTGACAAGTACGAAAACTTTGTGCAACTTTCAAGTCTGCTTGTAAACTTTGATCTCGTTTTCAGTAACCTTAAGTCGCTTGAAACTCGTACAAACCAGGGAGTTTTTACTTTGTTTCATCATCCGAAGCCTAATTAGGTTTTGAACTATGAAGTGCAGTAAAAAAACAACAGCTTGAAAAAGTTTTACAACAAAAAATTGTATTTTGCTTAACACATCTCAAACGCAAGGAAATGTTTTTAAAACAAGGTATAAATATATATTTTTCCTAAACCTGGAAAGTTCATCTGATCATTGCATTAACGGTCATAGACTACTTCAGGTTGTTGATTTAAATCTTTATTTAAATCAGTACCTCACAGTAGTAGAACAGTTGTTGAGAGTGGGCTCCTTGTTCCTATTATTATTATATGGGAATATCGGACTCTCTCTGAGCAACTGATTGATATTTCATGCCCCCGGGTGAGAGCCATTGCTCCCCATTGCACCGGGGCATGTAATATCAATTCTGCTTTCCTGCCTAATTTGGCTCGAAAGTGTGATAATAATGTGTTTTCCGCCTATGGGTCTTGTACTTATGAGTCTAGAATATTCCGCCGCGAGCGCGTTTGATACGTAATTACATCCTGCAAATCAATCGATGTGAGGTGATTCTAATACTTTATTTCTATTAGATATTTTTAGAGTCATTAAAACTGTAGATGTATAATGTATAGAACATCCGTTTAAGTGTTGATTATACATCACAGTCCTTATCGTATAATCTGTATCTGCGATGGGGTGAAAGAATTTCCTAGTTCTTGTATTTGAATAGAGCTGTGGGGTCATAATTATAGTGTCTATTTATCAGTCCACATTATACACTACACTCCCTAATTTACATCAACAATAATATCGTCCGTCTTGATTCTTGATTGTCTGTTATTTCAGAATGATTTAATGCAACTTGTTATCGTCGACTTTTTTATTTTATCGAGTATTCTGCTTAGTTCTTAGTCAGTATCCATCTTTACTTGCCATTATTTGCCATTATCTGCTTCGAGCTAGAAATTATCTGAACTAGAAATTATCAGAACATTTGTAATATTCAAATGTATCTCTTCAACATTTTAGAACGCAGTACTCCACCAGCCTATAACCACCCTGGTGACTGGTCATGGCCAGGTAGTTCACCCGTACTGTTACCAATATTGAATTGTCTAAAGAATGGCAGCACATTAATCATCGGACCTGTTTGCCCCAGTGCCCAGACTAATTTATAACCAGATTAGCTGATTAAGTTACGTCATTCGTCCCTTGATATATTTATATAGATAATATATTTTATAGGATGTTTTTATTGCACTTATTTGCACTAACTAAAATTCAGTTAAAACTAGTCCTGGGATAGAATTTTCGCTCTTTATTGTACAGAATCTATAAGTCTCTTTATCAGTCTGTTTATAGATCAGCCACGAATTTCGCAAGCTAATCTAGGCGAAACCGGTTTGGAAAATGGAAAAGCCAAGTATAATTTCTGCACAATTTCTATATGGAATATGGCTCAAAGAAGGGATCAGAGGGGGTTAAAATTCAGGTCTGAAATGGCTGAAATCTGGCTTTGTTTAGTGTGTTTTCTTCCTTCGAATAGATCAAACATCGTTTCTGTGTCTACTACTTTTTGTGAGGGTGACTGTAGTTTGTTCTGACACTTCCTTTTTAATTTCAAGTAAGCGATTAAGGAAATTAATAAGCCTGATTGATTGTATCGCTGACAAGTACCAAAACTTTGTGCAACTTTCAAGTCTGCTTGTAAACTTTGATCTCGTTTTCAGTAACCTTAAGTCGCTTGAAACTCGTACAAACCAGGGAGTTTTTACTTTGTTCCATCATCCGAAGCCTAATTAGGTTTTGAACTATGAAGTGCAGTAAAAAAGCAACAGCTTGAAAAAGTTTTACAACAAAAAATTGTATTTTGCTTAACACATCTCAAACGCAAGGAAATGTTTTTAAAACAAGGTATAAATTTATATTTTTCCTAAATTTGGAAAGTTTATCTGATCATTGCATTTACGGTCATAGACTACTTCAGGTTATTGATTTAAATCTTTATTTAAATCAGTACCTCACAGTAGTAGAACAGTTGTTGAGAGTGGGCTCTTTGTTCCTATGGGAATATCGGACTCTCTCTGAGCAACTGATTGATATTTCATGCCCCCGGGTGAGAGCCAGTGCTCCCCATCGGGGCATGTAATATCAAATCTGCTTTCCTGCCAAATTTGGCTCGAAAGTGTGATAATATACATTATACATATATATAATATGTATTTCTAGAATCAGACACCAGTAATATTATGTGTCACACATGTGTAAACCTGAATGCCGCTCATTTTCTGCTCCTCATTTTCCTTCTGTCTTCTAATCTTCTCTTCAAGTTCTTGTTTATCTCTTAGTCCCTGTAGAATACTTTTCTAAACTAAACTGTAATATTTACAGTTTACTTTTCAGCGAAGTATAATATATAATAAACTATAAACTCTACAGTCTACAATGTATGATACTCTACGTAATATCACTCTAAAAGTCTAAATGCAAGATGGCAGGACTACATTTAATCAAAAAGGAAATCTATATCTCGCCACTTTATAGAATGCTACTTAGAGAATCTCACAGTATTTAAGAGTTTGTAACTAAAACGAGTTTGAAAGGGGATGTATTTTAAAATAACAGTAAATAATTATAAGATAAGAGAACGTATGTTCTTACTTGGTTAATAAATGAATCAAGACCTTGGTCCCCATGTCTTGCATCTGTATACTCCTCAATAATAACTGCTTCTACACCTGTGGTAACTATGGTAACACAACATTACTTCTACACCTGTGGTAACTATGGTAACACAACATTACTTCTACACTTGTGGTAACTATGGTAACACAACATTACTTCTACACCTGTGGTAACTATGGTAACACACCATTACTTCTACACCTGTGGTAACTATGGTAACACAACATTAATCTATTGCATTATTTGGAACGAAGAAATTCCGACTGAATTCCAAATACTTGTACATGATGAAATTTTCACCAATAATCCTGGTTTTCTGTTTCAGTAAAACACACCATACCTGGCGTGCTAATTTCCTCTATAACAATAGGTTTCTCCTCCTGTTTAGTAGGATCCTTACCTGGTGTGTTAATTTCCTCAATAACAATAGGTTTCTCTTTCTGTTTAGTAGGATCCTTCTTCTTCTTCTGCTTCTTCTTGTGGTCCTTATTATTGTGTCCCTGCTTATTGTGGCTCTCCCTTTGTTTATTTAGGTAGTTTAGCTCTTCTTCTGTTGGTTGAGCTCTAGCTTGGAAAGAGTTGATGTTGTCTAGCAGTTCCCTATCTCTTTCTGATGGCTCTAAAAAGAAGGAGACGTTATGTAAAACAGTAACTAAATACATTAAATAATATAAATATTAAATAAGCATATCAAAGCTAAATACATTAAATTGATATTTATATGAAATAAATTAAGTAACGAGTATGAAATTACAAGTGCGGTACATCCCGTTGCTAGGTAACAGAACGAACAGTAAATCTTCTTTACTACAATGTTATAATATGATGGTTCTACAAACATCAAGTTGTACTAAATTATGCTTTAACGTATTACAAAGAAGGGAGCTCTAAAACAATTTTAGTTTATTTATTTATTTATTTGGTAAAAGCGTTGAGAATAAATAAATAAAATAAATATCTATTTATTTGATTGGTGTTTTGAAGTACCTCCGAACTGTTCCTGGCTTTTTGTCAGAACACTTTTATCATCTATTAATTCCTTAGATTCACTGTTGCTGTCTTTTAGTAACTGGAAACATTAAAGGTGTGATTTGTGATAATTATTATCAGATAATATTTGGTAATAATAATATTGGGTTATAATTTGCTGCACTGGCTAGGATCTTACGTTCCAGATCATTCTGGATCTATATTACTAGAACTAGTGTTTATAACTTTGATTTAAGTTAATATATAGGTAGATCTCATTAGGTCTGCAAATAATAAATATCTTATCAGCCAACCTTCAACCAGAAAATTAGATTGTAAGGAGCTGGTTATATAACCCTGAAACTAACACTGTAATAAGAAAGGAGCTGGTCCATATATTGTTTCCTCTCCCTCAATTCCTCCACTTTACCGCACAACTCTTCGTAGTCAGTCTCTGTTGCATGACCTGTCTTCTCATATCCAGCTTCTTTTTCTTCTTCTGACAATGATGCTAACGGTTATAAATAAATAAAGTAACATTTTTACAGCACTTTATCAGTAAATATTCGAGTCAGCTATTTAAGGAACTACAGATGATGCAAATCAGCTGATGAGACTGCGGTATACCCTACATCCTACATCCTACACCCTACATCCTACACTTCTAGGCAGATACAGATATCTGTAATATAAAAGTGCTTCAAGTATCATTGTTCCTTTGTAGGGAAGCTTTGTGTATTTCAGCTAACGGTAAACGAGAGACGATCTCAGGGAAAACGGGATGCGCACTAAAACACTTCCCCACTGGGTAACTATGGTAACACTGTGGTAACTATGGTAACACTGTGGTAACTATGGTAACTATGGTAACACTTCCCCACTGGGTAACTATGGTAACACTGTGGTAACTATGGTAACATTGTGGTAACTATGGTAACTATGGTAACACTTCCCCACTGGGTAACTATGGTAACACTGTGGTAACTATGGTAACTATGGTAACACTTCCCCACTGGGTAACTATGGTAACACTGTGGTAACTATGGTAACACTGTGGTAACTATGGTAACACTGTGGTAACTATGGTAACTATGGTAACACTTCCCCACTGGGTAACTATGGTAACACTGTGGTAACTATGGTAACTATGGTAACACTTCCCCACTGGGGATCCAGCCTGAGTTTTTGTGAAACTTGTATCTGAGATAACAGATGACCAACAAGTTAGGACCTCGACCCGTGACCGGGATTTTGAGATGGTCCCGGCCCCCAGCAGCCGGTAACTATGGTAACACCAGTGCACGCGGTACAGCCACACCCATATTTGGTCCCTTGTTGGCCCAATTATTCCAAATCAACTCAACAGTCAATATGCCCAAAACCCAAATTTTGGGTGCTCTATTTGTGCAGTGCAGTGGTCTCCTGAACTCATTCATTTTTTTTCAATCTGGATGAAAATTCATATTAAAATATAAAATAAGTACTATTTCTTAAATTGATATAAATTTCTAACCTTCTTCTTGTTCAGATGATATGTTGACTTGCTTGAAGCTGTTGTTTGCTATGTTCTGATTATTCTTTGACTTCTGAAATGAAAAATAGCAACTAATTGAATGTGTAATGTTACAGTGATCATGAAAGTATATCTAGAACATCCATAATAATGAATTTTTATATATTTCAAGATTTATAAATTGTGGCATATCATCAATCAAAACTGCATATTTTGGAACGAAACTGATTCACATTGATTAATCAATTAGACAAAAATTCAGTCTAAAAGAAAGTAAAAACCTGCTCGAGATCCTTCTGCCGTTTATTAAGATCAGCAAGTTTCTTCTGGAGCACATCAAACTGGTTACTGTCCAGAGTCAGTGGCTCGAACTCTTCAATATCCTCCTCGTTATCAGACTCATCGTACTCTACTAAACTCAGGTTACCTGTACAGTTCACCAACTTTACTTTAATACTTCTTTTTAAATAGTGATAAGTAAGAAAACAATACCCTATTTTATATGTTATTTAATATTTTTATTAATTGTACTAAAATATAATACCTTCTTTAACTTGTTCTATTTCGTGCGGTATTTCCCTCATATTGTATTTAGAATGCATCTTCTTTGGAGTTCCATCATTAGAAACAGCCTGAAAACAATATCTAGTGTAACTATTATAAGCTTCATTTTGAATATTATTATGTATACCATTAGTTCTCTTCATTCCTTGCTGTTCGTTACGTCATCATCACTACGTCACCATCACTGTTAACTACGTCAGCAATAACTTGACATTATTTCCGGTTCACATTGTTCTTTTCCAAATTGTACAATGTCATAATTTTACCATTCAAGACTAATTCACTATTTTATTATGTCACTAATTCACTAAATTTTACAATAATTATAATAACTTATTTCACTATTTCACTATTTCACTATTTCATTATTTCACTATTTCACTATTTCCCCCACCTGGATAGTTCTAGCAGCACTCTCGTTAGCATCAGCCAGTCTCTCTTCTGCCTGCTCCTTCAGTTGTATCAGTTCTCTCTGTTTGGTTTCAAGACGTTTCAGTTCGTGTTGCTGTTCAGATAAAGCTTGCAGTAGTGTGTGGTGTTTCCCAACCAAGAAGTCTTCTTCATCTTCTTGCTCCTGACGGTTTTATGGTTATTTTTTTTTGGAATATTGACATGTAAATTGTGGACTAATAATATTAAAAATAGTTAAATAAATTGAGTCAAACTTTATACAACATTTTATGGGTTAATATTTAAGTCAGCTATTATATAAGAGTATAAGGAACTATAGAATAGCTGTATAATAGCTGTTTAATAGCTGCATCGAACTCAAGTACCAAAATTGAATAACTGTATATTTTTATTCCTGTATATTTTATCTATTTATTTATATTCAATATGAGTTCTAATTACACTCCTGAGTAAAAGAATCAGTTGCTGAACATGATGACTAAATTGTCGAGAGTTACTGAGTGGAACACGTGGTCACTAACCATAAACAGCTGCTTCTTAGCATCATCCATGATATTTTTCTCCGAATGAGGCAAACTAGCAGCGATCTTAGTTCGAGAAAATGACTGGTTCATACGACCAACCGACTGTTCTTGTCCAGGAGAATTCACCAGTAAACCTGATAGAGAATGAGAACTTTTATGACAAATATGTACACGTGGCATGGTCTATATATACAGGTATAGTATTATATTAATGCTTTTCATGCAAACAAGTGATATATATAATATAATATATAATAGTGAATAATACATCCACTGAAATTTAATAATACGTGGGTGCGCATAAGAACGGATGCGTGCAGGGGCTGGAGTACGCTTGTATGTAGATTAATGAAATGTTGCATTGTAAATACTGAGAATTGACGATATATTATGATCTAATACTAAATATTACAAAGCTGGCTTTGGATTTAGGTAAGATTATAATTCATTAAAAAAACCACGGATAGTTTAAATTTATTTCTATTTGTCGTATAATTTTTAGCTCAGCTATTGACTCATGTTGTAAACTCGACAAACCCAAACTCACCAAACGAAATCCTATAAGCAATCCCTGGATATCCGACAGCATAATTGAAGCAATTGAAAAGAAAGGTCAGCTGTATGATAACTGGGTGAACTCAAAAACGCTCCCTGACTTCAAGCCAGTTGGAGATCTGAAACTCCACAAAATTTTTCGTGATTACAGACGCTGTCTTAAAAAGATAATAAAAAACCAAAAAGATACCTATAACTGTAACAAAATTCTTGAGAATTCTGATAGTTCTAAAAAGATGTGGGAAGTAATAAATGAGATAAGAGGGAAAAGGAAAAAAACCATCAAACCCCAATTTATGGTAGATGGAGTCCGTGTTGTTGAAAGACGGGTGATAGCCAACAAATTTAATGAGTACTTTGCCTCTATTGCCTCAAAAATGAATGAAAATACTCATAATGGCCTTCTTTTAGAACCTCTTCCCTCTTTCCTCGAATTCATGCCACCAAAAACTCTCGATTCAATTTACTTCCATAACTGTAGTGAAGATGAAATTTCTGAGATTATAGCCAACTTGAAGAGTGGGAAAGCTAGCGACTTTCCCATAAGAGTAATCAAAAAACTATCGGGTATTCTTAGCCCAACTCTTGTTGTTCAATTTAATCGCCTGATATCTCAAGGGATATTTCCGTCAGTTCTGAAGCTTGGTAAAATAACCCCAATATACAAAAAAGATAACGAAGAACTGATTGAGAACTACAGGCCTGTTTCCACACTTCCAATTTTTGGTAAAATTTTTGAAAAAATAATATACAAACGTCTTTACAGCTTCTTGGTTAGTCAAGGAATCCTTCACGACAGTCAATTCGGATTCCGAAAGAGTCACTCAACATCACATGCACTTAACTACTCAGTTTTTCACATCCAAAAGGCCCTAAAGCAAGGTCTTCATGTTCTAGGAATTTTTATTGATCTAAGCAAGGCCTTTGACACAATAGACCACACAATTTTGCTTGAGAAACTTGAAATATATGGGATTAGAGGAGTGCCACTTAAGTTACTGGAAAGTTACTTGTCGGACAGAGAGCAGTGTGTGTCCGTCCTGGGCGAAGTATCAGACAGACTTCCTGTTCTCTATGGCGTTCCACAGGGGAGCTGCCTTGGGCCTCTCCTGTTTTTAATATACATAAATGACTTAACAAACTCTCAACTCGATAACACTAGCTATGTCTTATTTGCTGATGATACAAACATATTTGTAGTTGCCAAAACTAGAGCAGAGGCCTACAATAATGCTAATAGGGTCCTACGATCAGTCCACGAGTACACATTGGCTAATAAATTACATGTTAACGCCAAGAAAAGTTGCTATATAGAATTTAATACAGCTAAAAGAAAACTTGATGATCAATCTTTATTAATTGAAAATAGACTTTACCTCAATGGCCTACCTCTCTCAAAGGTGCAGGAAACGAAATTCCTGGGAGTAATTGTCGACGAAGGCCTAACTTTCAATCCCTATAGAGACAAACTAGTTAGAAAACTCTCGTCCTGTTCTGGGAGGCTATACATGATTAAGGATAAAATTCCATCATCTATCCATAAGGACCTGTACCACACACTGTTTGAAAGTCACCTATCTTATGGACACGTTCATAAAAAGGTGGCACTAGAGATTGATTTTTCACTGCCAAAATTGTGTGAAGCATTTTAAAATACTTGTATCTCAAAGAGTATGCTATGAAAGTTAACCAAATTTTAATATGTGGTCCAAAAAGATTCAAATGTCACATAATTAAGTCATTCATCTCTTTATATCTGTTAATTGTGCAGATATGAGCCAGAAATCACAAAATATTCATTTCTTGCACCTCTAATGATGAATTTACATTCTGTGAGTGTGTCCTGCTTATCAATGTGATTATTGAACCTTTTTGAGATAGTTGAGTGTTAAAAGTGCAAAGAGTCACCGGTTAAATGTGGAGTTAAGATGCGATTATCACACAGCTACAGGGTTAATTCTGACTAATTATTTTAGAATGATGAATGTGATATGAATATCAACGGAATGATTGTAATAATGAACTCTATCGATCACAATTATAGCATGCTAACTAATATTTAGAGAATTTAGATGGTTAAAAGTGCCATAATGAGTCAAAAATCACATAAATGAGCATGTATTGAAATGATGCTGTATCAGGGGAATGTATCACTTTTTGGCTCTATATCAGGTTGGTATTCATAGTAAATCTGTAGTGATTTGTTGTGACACTTGTTTATGGTCATGGAGAAGTTCGTTATTAGAGTAATAGTGGAATCAATAATCACAAAACACTGATTTTAAACTGAGTAAACTAGGCAAGTACTTTTACTACTCAAGCCATGATAATTTTGTCTCCATAATGTGACAAATGAATCAATCAGTAACGTATAATACTTAATTGGATTTTTGAAATGTGATTATCGATTCATTACCTTTCCTTTCAAAATGTCATTACAACTTGAACATTACATATGATTCAATTGTCACACTTTAAACAAAATTACATATTTGGTAGCTCGATTTATGTGATTTTTGAATCATTTAAGCACCCAGATCAAAAATTATCGCTCAAAGACCTTCAATATGGTATAAGCTTAGACATGGATTCAAAAATCACATAATAAGAATCATAGAATGGATATAAATTGTCATATCGTGCACTTAATTTAAGGCTTACTATAGTGTGACTTAATAGCGCACCTTTAACGAAAATGTGACTTTTGAATCATATTAACTGGTTTTAATACTATTAAATAACACTATTTTGTACCCTAAAAAATGATAGAAAGCCAATAAAAACGTTAGATGATTCAATAATCACTGCTCAAAATAGGCTCATTTCCAACGTTTAAGTTGTGATTTTTGACTCATTTTGGCACCAATAACAATTTCAGATAAGACATTCCATTCCTTACATGCATTATAGTCACCATATCAATTTTGGCTTCTTTGTGAATAGTACTTTTCAGATTATCTAGGGTTGATTCATCTTGCATTTCTAATTGTGTGACTTTTGACTCATTGGCACACTAATAACGATAACTCCTGTGATATAAGCACTAGAGACTCCGTGATTTCAGGATCATGAAATTTAATCGAATTTCTAAAGGTATAGATAGATATATCAACCAACAAAGAGCAATGACTATTTTTAAAACGCATTTAAAAAAACCAATCTCTAGTGCCACCTTTTTTTGAACGTGTCCTTATGGCATTACCGTTTGGGGAGGTGCAAGTAATAATAAACTTCAACCACTATTTGTAGCCCAGAAAAAGTGTGTTCGTATCATGTTTGGTGACAAAAAAGCATACCTTGATAAATTTATGACATGTGCTAGGACTAGACCTATCAGTGAACAGAAACTTACTAGCAAATTCTTTGAGAGAGAGCACACCAAGACAATTTTTGCCCGTCAATCACTCATGACATTGCATAATTTATACGCGTATCACTGCTGCAATGAACTTTTTAAAGTCTTTAAGTATCGAACACCAATTGCACTATTTGAACTTTTCTGTTTGTCTAAAAGACCCGGCAAAGAAAGTCTTCTTATAACAACCATGCCCTCAAACAGTTTCGTTTACAAATCTAGTTGCCTTTGGAATTCATTCCGTCAGATGTTGGCACTGAACGACCTTGAAATCACTCATGGTGTATTCAAATCAAAGGTAAAAAAGTCATTCTCTCGTCTCAGGGTAAAGGTGACAAGAATACCTGGGCCCCTTTGGCAAACTTTCTGAACTCAGGCAGCTTGAACAACTAAATTTGAAAAAGTAAAACTTCTTGTCTGAATGAACTATCAGAACCTCAAGAAGCTGATCCGCATGTCTCCGCTACTAAAATGTTTAATGAGCCCAATCACTCATCACTTAACAGTTTAATCTTCAAAGTGAGTTGTACAATCTAGGTTGTTTTAAGTAGCTGTTGATAGTGTAAAACAGTAGTGACTTGATCGTTTTCATAACTTCGATTTACAATTTGTACCATAATAAAACTAGCACTGCCATGGGGTTCAAAAAGGGTCATTGTAAGCCTCCAGCGTAATGGTCCTAAGTCTCTGCCCCATGCAGTGCCTGTCAGCTAACAGAATAGCCCTAACATAACGATCAAGCCACAAATTAGGTTCTATAATGATTTAATATTGTTGAATAAAGAGATTTGAATATAATATTTGTTTTATTCTGAATATTTGTTTTATTCTGAATCATAAACAATTTAATCCTGTTTCAAGAATGCGCGGCTTTGGCGGCCAGTTATTGACTTATACATTAAATTGAATTTTAAATAGAAATGTGAATATATTAAAATTCAAAACTTTGAAAACGGAGGCTTATAAATATTATTATATTATGATTGTAAAATAAAGGATAAAATTTTAAATTTGTTTCACTAAAATTTGTTTCACTAACTAGGCATAACATTGCAATTTAACATTCAGTATTAATTGATCTAATTCTGGCTACTAAAAAATGGAAAAAGCATGACAAATAAGTTTTGAAATTTGAAGTAACCCACTAGATTCATGATCAGCTATAGGATTGGAAATGTTGCTCCGTTGACGGTCATGTAGGACCTGTTTTATGAGCTCCTTGTCTGGAGATGGTCTCTGATTCTGATTCCCTGGTCTCTGAGTCTGAGTCCCTGCTGAATTAAGAGACAAACTTAGATATAGTATCTTAGTATTATACAGATCTTCTAGTATTATACAGATAGAGCACAGATAGGGAGATAAGGGTCAGAAAGGGAAAAGCGTGGGGTGCCCTAGATAGACTGAAGGATGTCTGGAAATCCAAACTCTCAAAGAGCCTCAAGATTAGATTGTTCATAGCGGCTTGTGAATCAGTACTGCTCTACGGATCAGAAACCTGGACACTGACATAGGCTCAAGAGAAAAGGTTGGACGGGACATACACAAAAATGTTGCTTATGGTGCTGAGTATCTCATGGAAGTAAGGTTTTTTTTTTCTGGGTGCCACAGACCCACCCAATGGTGCTGACTTTTTTGGGTTAAAGACCCACTTTTCCATTGAATGTGGCTCGCTGGCTGAGCTGCGCTCCCCTTAGCAGTTCACCACCAAATTTTTTAATCCAATTTTTTGAACTTTCCCTATCAACAATCTTAGAGATTGGACTAAATATTACATTCCATAATTTAGGACTTGAAGTTGATGACCTTCTTCCGTCAGAATATTTATATGTACTATTCATATGCATTATTCCACCACATTTTGGTTGATAATTTGATTTCCAATGTCCACTCATACATATGTGGAAAACTTACAAATACCCCTTAAAATGCTAGCTTTATACTTATAGTATAAAGATGTAGGTATAGGTCAGGGACGTAGCCAGGATTTTTATTTGAGGGGGGCTGCCAGCGAGCGAAGCGAGCCGACGCGCCCAATCCAGCTGTGCAGCGAGCAAGCTCTGGCAGGGGTCTGGGGGCGCAGCCCCCCGGAAAACTTTTGCGAAACAGGGTGTTTTAGACGACATTTGGCATTAAAGAAATTTGTAGGATAGCAATAAACTGGGATTGAAAAGAATCAAGTACTCACGTACAGGGACGTAGCCAGGATTTTTCTTTGATGGGGGCTGTCGGGAGCTAGGGGGGCGCAGCCCCCCGGAAATTTTTTGCGAAACAGGGTGTTTTAGACGACATTTGGCATTAAAGAAATTTGTAGGACAGCAATAAACTGGGATTGAAAATAATCAAGTACTCACGTAAATTTGGTAACTTCACAACAGCAATCTGCATTCTCCAATCAGAATTTACGACTTACTCAGGCCTCATCGTCTTAAGATTTTTACATTTCCTACGGTCTAGGGGACACTATTGACTATTTATAGAAGTCTTCTAGAATGTTTGCTTGGATGTTATGACAGATATTTATTAATCCACAGTTCAAATCTTTGACTGACTGCAGTCATAAACACAGCCCAGTTACCAGGCGACCATGGGGGAGTAGACACACAGTTGATAACAACAGACCCAAGTTATCAATATCAACAGACCCACTATTTCATCTTAAAGACCCACAAGTCAATCCACAGACCCATTTCAGAGTAGCAAAGACCCACTATTAAGCGAGTAGACACACACTTAATAACAACAGACCCACTATCAATATCAACAGGCCCACTATTTCATCTTACAGACCCACAAGTCAATCTACAGACCCATTTCAGAGTAGCAAAGACCCACTATTAAGCGAGTAGACACACACTTAATAACAACAGACCCACTATCAATATCAACAGACCCACTATTTAATCTTACAGACCCACAAGTCAATCTACAAACCCATTTCAGAGTAGCAAAGGCCCACTATTAAGCGAGTAGACACACACTTAACAACAACAGACCCACTATCAATATCAACAGACCCACTATTCCACAAAGACCCACTATTAAGCGAGTAGACACACACTTAATAACAACAGACCCACTATCAATATCAACAGACCCACTATTCCACCTTATAGACCCATGTAAGTAAGTCTACACTGTAATAAAACACATCCAAGCTATCAACAGGCCCACTATTTGAGCATGTACAGACCCTCATTAACCATGGTCAATTCAATCCTAACCTCACCCACCCCCCCCCCCCCCCCCCCCCAAGAAAATATGTTTTTTTTTCGTTTCAGACAATTTTAATTCTTCGATGAAAAAATTTGAGGCAAGGGTGCTGGCACCCTTGGCACCCTTTAAAAAAAAACCTTACATGGAAGGACAAGGTCAGCAATATAACTTTGTATGGTAGCCTACCAAGCAGTAAACGACCGGGGGTAGGATTTGGCCGGGGCCGGGGCCGGGAATGTCCAAATTTTGCCGGGGCCGGGAATTGGCCGTTCTGGAATTTGGCCGGGGCCGGGCCGGGGCCGGGGCCGTGAATTTAATAAATCCACGGCCAAGTTACGGCCAGAGGTTACAAAAACAAAGGACTGCTCTTGAAAGTTGGCACTCTGGACATCATCCTTTCAAAATTGAAAATCCATTTTAAGATTTATATGAAAGTTTTAGGCCGATTTCGATCAAAAATTCCCGGCCAAATTCCCGGCAAAAATTGAAAATCAGCCGGGGCCGGGAAGAAATAGCTCCCCCGGTGCCGGGATTTCACGGCGCCGGGAATCCCGGTTGATTACTGCTACCAAGGCTGTCAAACAAGTTATGAAGCAGGAGATTTAAAATGGCGGGACACTGCATCCGACATCCTGAGCTATTGGGGGGGGGGGGGGGGGGGGGGGGGGGTCCAACCCGATCATTTCCGATCATTCCGATCCCGATTTTGGCCTCATCAACCCTCATATCGGAAAAATCGGGAAAATTTAAATCTTCCCTCTGAGGTTTCTAGGCGATATAGGTAGCTATTTCTGTACTTAAATATGACAAGAAATCGATTGGTGGTGGTCCCAGAACCCCAAAATGGTATCTTGTTCCAAACAAGAATCGTTTCGTCCGAAAAAAACAACACACTGTCGTATCAACTCTTGTTTGACAGAAACATCCACCCCGGTCCACAATTGAAAGAGGTACGGTTGGTTATAACAATCGTAACAAATAGCGAACGCTTTAGTAACTTTTGATTTAAATTGTCTCCACAATTTGTAACAGGCTATCTGCAGAAATGGGTAGCACGGTTAATGACCATGGTCCTTTCTCAAACTTCCAATCCTCAGTTAGATACAAAGAATAGTCTACACAATTTTTGATAACATTAAAAGGGATGAAAATCACTTTATTTATCAAAATCTTTATTTATCATGTAACAACTTTTCCATAGTACTGGAGAGTAAAACTCTGTTAAACAAAAATATTCTCGAGCACATTTTGAGTCAGTAACAGTAACATGTCAATATGTTACAGACTCAAATGCGTTTAAAAACATTTTAGTAACAATAAATTGTGTTAACTGATGAGGAGGAGAAGGAGGACTGAGGAGGACAGAGGAGGAAGACTGAGGAGGACCAGGACGAGGACTAGGAGGATGAGGACGAGGACTAAGGACGAGGACTAGGAGGATGAGGACGAGGACTAAGGACGATGAGGATGAGGACGAGGACTAAGGACGAGGAGGAGGACGACTGAGGAGGAGGACTGATTAGGAGGAGGACTGATTAGGAGGAGAAGGAAGAGAAGAAGGAGGAGGAGGATGAGGATGAGAACTGAGGAGGAGGAGGAGAAGGAGGAAGACTGAGGAGAAAGAGGAGGACCGAGGAGGACTGAGGAGGAGGAGGACTGAAGAGGAGAGGGAGGACTGAAGAAGAGGAGCAGGATTGTTGTGGAGGAAGACGAGAAGGAGGAGAAGGAGGAGGACGAGAGCGAGGACGAGGAGGAAGACTGAGGAGGAGGACTGTTAAAAAGGAGAAGAACGAGGACTGAGGAGGAGGACTGAGGATGAGGAGTCGAGGAGGAAAAGGAGGACTGGGGGAGGACTAAGGACGAGGAGGACTGAGGAGGAGGACTGAGGATGAGGAGGAGGACTGAGGATGAGGAGAAGGAGGACTGGGGAGGACTGAGGAAGAGGAGAACTTGGGGAGAAGGATGAGGAGGAGGAGACTGACGAGGACGAAGAGGACTGAGGAGGAAGACTGAGGAGGATGAGGACGTGGACTAAGGACGAGGATTAGGAGGATGAGGACAAGGGCTAATGAAGAGGAGGAAGACGACTGAGGAGGAGGACTGATTAGGAGGAGAAGGAAGAGGAGAAGGAGGAGGAGGATGAGGAGGAGGACTGAGGAGGAGGAGGATAAGGAGGAGAATGAGGAGGAGGATGAGGAGGACTGAGGAGGACGAGGATAAGGAGGAGAATGAGGAGGAGGAGGAGGATGACTCAGGAGGAGGACTCAGGAGGTGGAGGAGGACGAGGAGGAGGACTCAGGAGGAAGACTGAAGAGGAGGATGAGGACTGATGAGGAGGAGGAGGACTAAGATGATGCGAGGACTAAGGACGAAGAGGACTGAGGAGGAGGACGAGAGCGAGGACGAGGAGGAGGACTGAGGAGGAGGACTGATCAGAAGGAGAAGGAGGAGGAGGAGGACTGAGGAGGAGGACTGAGGATGAGGAGAAGGAGGACTGGGGCCGGGGAGGACTGAGGAAGAGGAGGACTTGGGAAGGACTGAGGAGGAGGAGGACTTGGGTAGGACTGAGGAGGAGGAGGAGGAGGAGGAGGATGAGGAGGAGGAGAAGGAGGACTGGGGGAGGACTGATGAGGAGGAGGACTGGGGGAGGAAGAGGACTTAGGAGTAGGGGGAGAAGGAGGAAAAGGAGGAGAAGGAGGAGAAGGAGGAGAAGGAGGAGGAGGACTGGGGACTGAGGAGGAGGAGGACTGAGGAGGAAGAAGATGAGAAAGAGGACTGAAGAGGATGAGGAGGGGGAGAAGGAGGACTGGGGGAGGACTGAGGAAGAGGAGGACTTGGGGAGAAGGATGAGGAGACTGATGAGGAGTAGGAGGACTGAGGAGGAAGACTGAGGAGGATGAGGACGAGGACTAAGGACGAGGACTAGGAGGATAAGGACAAGGGCTAATCTAGAGGAGGAAGACGACTGAGGAGGAGGACTGATTAGGAGGATAAGGAAGAGGAGAAGGAGGAGGAGGACTGATGAGGAGGAGGATAAGGAGGAGAATGAGGAGGAGGA